CTGCTGCTACGACGACTACGACGACGAGTTTCGTTAACGTTATTCATCTGCCTGATATGCTTCGTGGGAATTCAATTTGTTTGCACCGTACTTAGCACTTCATGGTACGCGATGAGAAAACCGGTCTGTCCGAGGTTGGAGCTCCTGAAGTGGCAGCAAGTCAAGGCTTGCCCTGCGCAGGTCGTGAATCGCGACATTCCACAGGGACAGAATGCGAGAATCATCCAAGATGCGCCCCGGGATCAACTGTACAAGGGAACTAGGACAAGAGTTCGGTAGTCAGGCGGCGTGCTCAGAGTCACCGGACTGCGCTGGTTTGCAGCGAGATGATTTGTCGAGCTTGAGAGCGTGCAAGCATTTACTGACACGGCTCTGTGCGATCGGCATGAGATGCCAAGGTACCAACTGCAGGTCACTGTCAACGGATGTGCACGGAAAGCGACTGTGATGCTTCTGTGTGGGGTGCAGTCCGCGACGTCGAAGGTACCGGGTCGGTTGATGAATCGGAATGGTATGGCGAAAGGTGTCAGGGTTTATGATGCTCCAGCTTTGGCCAGGCCTGTCGGACGTCTGCTTCCTGAAGAAAGTCTCTGGACCTCCAGACATGACGGAGAAGCAGGGCGTTATCGCCGCCTTGCCCTGCTGTCGACCCGGGCAGGCGCGAAAGCTCAGAAACTTTCAGCTCCCGTTGTCCCAACCCTGTCCCTCCTCCCAGGAAGGACAAAGTTGTCCGCGGCACATGCTGCAGACCGATGCCGTGACAGAGAATGGATTCGCTCCCATGCAAGGCCTGGGCTGGTTTGGACATGGTCGTCGTCATTAGAGATTAGGGTTTCGGGGTTTAGGCCTTAGGGTTGATGGTAATAAGAGGAGTCGTCGTCGTAGTGGTAGAATCAGAAGCCGCAGCATCATCAACAACAACAGGGCAGCATGGCCTCCATGCCTCGAGGCATTGCCAAACTCTTGAGTGTGTTCACAGGACCCATCTAGTGACAATGATGACTGCCGACAGTATATATATATGCTCGCCCCCCCCC